AGTAGGGTTTGAGCAGTGACTAAAACTTGGTTTTGCTCTTTGTAAATGGGGGGGGGGGGGGGGGGAGTGTTTGTGTAATGACTGGTTGATGGGAGGTGAATTACTTATCTAGACAAACTGTGTTTTTTTGGGGGGGGGTGTATGAACCTTTACATAGACATGCACTGCAAAAGAAGAAAAAAAAGGAAGTTGTCTCAAGGTTTAGGGTAGAAGGTCATGAAATGGGAAAGATGGGTGAGGAGTGAAAACAGAAATAAGAGAAGTGACAGAGCTACACTGGGCCTGGGGAAAGATCAGATAGGGGAATGAAGAGATGAAGCAGCAATAAATGAAAATGAAAGAGAAAACATAACAGACAACAGAGCTCCAAGGTAAAAGCAAACAGGTTGTGTACATTGTCAGGCAGCAGCTATTTATTGGGAAATCTAAGAATATCAATAACAGCTTTTCTCACAAGGACAGCTATAACTTTCTCCAGAAAGGACAAGACATCAGATGAAGTGTACAGCCTTCCCACAGATAATGCTGGAACAGCTGTTACAGGAGGCTCTATCATGGTCATGGGGGCTGGCAGAATTATCATTTGCTTCCTGGAAAAAGATCACTGTTTATTTCTGATGGTGTGGAAAGACAGAAAGCAAGAAAGCAACTTTTGACTTCTCCATGACTTGTGTATAATTGTAAAGGCCCAGGGTCACACAAGCAACCATAATGTAATATACAATAAACAAACATAATATAACACTGCCACCCGTAGATTCTGCTTTATAGCTTTGAAACAGGAAATTGATGTGTACAGGTTTCCTCTGGATACCTCTTCAGTAATTGCTACAGCCTTTTGATATTGGTCTGGTTGTGAGTGGGAATATCTTTCATCTTCATCAGGAAACTGCTTAAAACTCTAGCTTCTGTCTACTATGCTATTAGCTTGACACAGGCTCTGAAGAAGACGTAAAGTTTCTAGTCCAAATTTCCCTTGTCTGTTGTCTCTAGTTTCATCCTCAGTGGATATAATGAAAAGTTTATTCCTCTGCCTCTGTTGCAGCCCCTCAACTACTTAGGTGCTGTTATCAATCATGCTGTCTATTAATCTTTCCCTCTCTGGGCTAAGCAAATGCAAATTTGCAGTCCTTCCTGAGAGATTTTTCTCGGCTTATGATGATTTTTATGGTTCTCCATTAACACCCTCTTCTGTGCATCCACACCCTTCTCAACACCCTTCCAAAGCTGTACCAGGTACTTCAGCTGTGGTCTAACCAGTGGTCATCTGAATGGAGGGATTTTAATATGAACATGCGCTCCTGTCTACCTAGTGCAGAGTCAAGTGAAAAGTGTCAAACAGGCCATTTCAGTCACTATTTGTGTAATGATGGTTCTTTTCCATAAAAATAGTTTCTTTTCAGAATCAGACACTGATGCCAAATTGGACAGCATTTAAATTCAGTAATTCATGTAATGAAAATAATCAATATATATTTTGAACAATCTGTTAATCTTTAAGATTGTTTCTGTTTTGAGTTTTTGGCATTCGTTTTGCATTAGTTGCTTCATGTGGTATTTTAAACTTAGTGATTTGTATCCTGTAGTGCATAAACAAACTATTGATGGAGTATCACGCGGTCATTTCTGCCTTTTTTTTTTTTTGGTCTTGATAATAGCAGTAATAGGCACCTAATTAACACAAGGTCAAAACCTGCTTACCTTAGTCTTCCCACTGTAAAGATAAAGATAATGAGAGGGAAGAAATGGTGAAAAGTCAAGCCCTCAGACCTTGGAGACGGAAGCCTACATCAAAAGCTGCAGCTTGAGGACAACTGTGGTCATTGGTCAACCCTGCCTGAATAGAGGGGCCCGTTCTGAGTTTTAGAAAAGAAATTGCAGTGAGTGTTTCAGTTTGTTCATTTCAAAATCATGTCTGAAGCTCAGATACAGATGACTGTACTGTTGCTTTAATTTTAGAACAAAGGTACCATTTAAATACAAGACTGAAAAGACAACAAAGAGAAATTCTGTGAACCTGAAAGAAAGAAAGAAAAAAAAAAACCCAAACCAGAAACAAAACAAAACCCCAGCAGTTACTCTTTTTTTTTTCAATCTGGCCTTGTGGCCACGGGTCAAATGTTTTTCAAGCTCTTCTTAAATCTTTCTTATATTTCCCTGCCACACTTATTGTCTTACTGCCTCTGGTCCTTCCTGTGTTTCCTCTCTCATCTTCTTCCTGCATTGTTATCTCACTCACAGTTCTGCTTTCTTCTTGCCTTGTTAATCTACTTTTAGACTCTTCTCTTTTTTCTTTTTGGATTTTACCACCACCAGCTCTTTATTCAGCTGAGCACCTTCTAGCTCTGCGCATGTTCTGCAGATACAGGGGTGCTACATCACAGGTCTACCTATGCTCTTTTGGCTGAGATTATTGCCAGTAAGCATAACAAGTGGGAGAGGTTTGTGTGGATTGCTGACTAGATTTTGGCTACTCCCTCATCAGAGTACATCAAGGTACTCTTGATTCAAAGGGGTCACTGCATCTAAATTTGCTAAAAGCCATGCCATTGTAACCTTACTTGGTTGTCTGTCATCTGAGGCTGCAGGCAACCTGACATGAGCAGTAAAATGAACCTTTCTGCCTCTCTCTTTGTCTATCAAAGGTCTCTAATAGTCCAAAGTTCTTGTCTCAATTATTTTTGATCTTTTGCTTTTATCCCCCAAAGAATTCTCCTTAGTCACAAGTCAACACTGCAAATAAGGGCATAATAAGCTGATGATTCTATCGCTTCTTTTAATCAACTCCCCACAAATCCCTGCAAGTTTTAAGCATTTTTGCATGTTGCTTTCAGTTTGTTCTCAAAGTATACTTAATTATTCACCATTTCAAGAAAACAATTCATGACACTACTTTATTCTACTCTGCTAATCCAATTTACCTTAGTGTATCTCTAACCTGTGATAAAATCAGCAAATTGTGACGTAAACTCTCATTATTTTAGTTTTGAGGAAATCTCAGCCTATCAGCATGGTTATTAAATGGAATGCCTTTAAAGGATGAATAATCTAAGTATTGCAATGAGCTTTGTACAAAGTCCTGCTGAGTTAGGGAAAGAGTGAATTAAGGAATGAGCTAATTGACCAGCTAGCGTGTTCAGCTGGTGTTACAGACATGGTAGTTACTGAGAGATGTTATAACAAACCATATGAAATGTAGGCACTGTTGAAAAAACATTCTGGTTTTGTGCTGTGGCCTTGTGGCATGGGGAATTACAGGAGCTTTGTCAGCAGCTTGTAATGAGAATGAAGAGATGGAAAAATGCTCGTTGTTTAGAAAACAAGATTGCTTTTTGGTCTATTTGGATTAATTTTGTTTTCAAAGTATATCAAGTGTGGGTTATGAAGCATTATTCTGACTGGGTAACTAAACAGCAAGAAAAAAAACTGTATTTTAAATACAGTGTGCAAGAGGCTGTGCATAGCCTTCCTGTAGTCATGTGCCCTGGGGAGTAGGGCTGGAGCAGCAGCAGGCCCATAGGGAACTGACTTCATTTGATATGGGATATGGCCACATCAGACTAGGCCAGCGTGTGAGCCATTACAAAGACAGCAGCATACCTAGAAAAGATACCCAGGAAAGAGGGGCTCACTGGGAAGGGGCAACTTATCAGCTGTTGCCCATTAGGTGCTAAGAGGGCTGATAACGTCTTACACTGCTTGAATAGGAATTATAAGGGTCCATCTGACTAGACCTTCATACATGCCTGCAGGGCTCCTGTAATTATATTATGTATTATGTTTTTTTCAGGTTAGATCTGTGACTCTGGCAGGCCTCCGGTGGTGCTCGTGAAATGTTAATCGGAGCACAGCATGCTGAGCAAAGGGAACAAAGCTGATTGTTCTGCTCTGTAACCAAAAAAAAAGAGAGAATGCCAGCAGATATTAGCATGAATGGAGTCACACAAGAATAGTGACATGCTGTCCTGACTCAGTTTTTGAATGTCTGTATTACAGCAAGCTAATGCAGCACGACAGGATGTCACGCTGCAAACCTGAAAGCACTAGGGGATTAGTCTGTGCCATTTTGCTCTCCCATTCAGTCATATAGCTGATATCTTCCTTCCCAGATGTGCCCACCCTTGTCTCACAGCAGTGTAAAATCATTAAGAAATGCCACTGTTTCTGATGCAATGTAATTTTTTTACGCCCTAACTTTTTAGTAGAAAGATATGAACACAGGCAATAAAACTGAAAATATTATTTGAAGCCAAAACTTTTAGTTGAGCTATTCTGTTACAACTTCCCAGCACAACCAGAAGATATAGAAATTATTTTGCTTTTGGTTTGGGGTGGGGTGGAGGGGTTGTCAGTTTGTTTTGCAATATTGGAGACTTTTGCCTACTAACTTGACCCAGGATTTTTGTGACTGGCATAATTTACTGCAGTAAAATCCTAGCAGCTGGAGCACTGCCTTGAGGGCAACTGAAAAGTCAGTCATTCCTCAACCTGGTGCTACCCAATCCATGTTCTGTGAATTCTCCTGTTTTCTTCGTATAAGGATGAGGGTGATGCTGAAAACTGCTCCTGAGGTGCTTGTACTAGCCAAAGAGCCAGTACAGTTTTGCTCCTCCAAGGCAGGAGAAAGGGTGCTTACTCCTTAAGCCAGTTATTTCGGTTAATCCTTCACCCTGAAGACCCAGAGCGGCCATGTTTGTGCTCAAGGAAAGGAACAGCTAGCAAAAAATCTTTCATTGCCTGATGGAAAACAACCCACAGTCCAAGGAGAAAGGCCATAGCAGATGCTCCCCATTACAGCAGTGAGGGCAAAACTAAGAGACTTACCATACCCCTTGAAAGGTTGCTAGCAAAGTTGTATGATTTGGTTGCTTCTGCTAGTAATCTCTTGAACTTGATTTTCCAGGGAGGTCCTTGCTGCTGTCTGCCTAATATGCCTATGTAGTGCTAGATAGGTCTGAAAGGTTGTGAAAGTAATATGATCATTTCTGTGTTTATTTCAGAAAATGGTGTTCAAACCAGTACCGCCAGTGCAACTGCTCCTGCCTCAACATCAAAATCTGGTAAGAGTTCGAGTTTGCTATTACCTGATATTCTGAAGCTCACATTGCCTTTTTAGCATTCAAATTTTCCAACTTCTGGGAGAAATTAGATGAATTATTTCATGTGAATGTAGAGCAACATATTTCCCTAGGCCTCTTATCAAACTCTGTTGAGAAGAAAGGCTTGAGGGATCTTAGTAAGGAGAGGATTAATTTGACCAGGATGCAAAAATGGTTTCAGTCCAAAAAGGCTGAAATTCTGTGAGTTGTTATGGTTTCAAAGAGTAGCCCAAGTGTGATCAAATATAAACAAATTAGTTAAGGCTCATAATTCAAGAGGTTGTTAGATTGAGAATAATTCAGGAAACAGCATCATTCAAGGGATATGGCAGCAGGGAGCAGCGCCATTTGATGGATATAGAGTGATGGAAGAGGACATGGGTTTTGATAGTAAAGAATTACACAATATATGCCAAGATTGGGCCTTAGTTGATAGGAGAGAATAAATGTACATAGAACTGTCACTTGCAAGAAATCTACTGATAACTTCTTGAAACTATTGATATGAAGATTCACTTTTGGGGGCAAGGGATCGGCACCAGTTTGCTCAGTTTCAAAAGCTGCATTGTCTCTGACTTCTGTGATTATTTCAACTAGATCAAATTTTATTTAACTAGATTAAAGTCCTAAAACTAAGAAGACTTAACAGAGAAAATACCTGCTTCAGATGGTAAAAATCTGTGATTCTGGTTTATGTCTTCAACTGGCACATTCAGTTCTCTTTATTGTGTAGGCTTGTAGTTAGGAAAAATCCATATTGAACATATTTCATTCATGTGAGCTAAATATCAACTCCTTTATTAGTTTGAATACTGATGACTGCTGCATTAAAAAAGTGATCCATGTGCGAGAAGAAAATTTGGACACAAGAGTTACAGATACTAACGAGATATGCTAATGAGGCTGTGTTCAAGCTGAAAGTACTGAGATGATTATGAGTATATACTTGAAGTAATGGAGGTGAATAAGATGCAGCCAGGTGAAGTATGCATGTTACAGTTATTACAGCAGAAGAATTAAACTTTTTCAAATTGTGTTGCAGTATTTTTGTGTTTCAAAACCCTTGATGTTAACGTCTGTTTCAGAGACACTTTATAAAAGTTCAACACCTCACAGTGAATGAGCTCTTTTGATGATTCACTGAATTTTCTCTTGCAGCTTTCTGTCACAGAAAGGAAAGCAGAATTGTTATTTACGCCTATGAGAAAAGCATCAGAAACCCACTATGAGATTAAAGCACTTTGTGGGTGTGAGGCACGCTCCCAGGGAGATCCATTCGTTGAGGCACTGCTGTTCTTCATGAACAGCCAGCAAACTAAGAGAGGAGGAAAACAGTATAACTTATGTTTTAAAAGTTCTAGTGTGAACATTGCATTAGAAGTACTCTAGTCGTATCAGAGAAAATGACATGTCATGTCATGATTTGTTCCTATTCTTTCGTGTATCCCATCCACGGAAAGAGGTAGTAGGATGCGTGTTGGGTTGTTGTCAGGGACTTAAATGAGTCTCCGTAGCTAACAGTAGCACTTTCTGTTTGTATTAGATTACAGAATTCAAAGCTGGACTCTTGAAATTATTAGTTATGGGGTTTTTAGCCCAGATTCATTGGCAGCAATTTGGGCAGTCGCTTCCCTTGATCATGTGCCAGGAGAACGTAGGTCCTGCAGTATGCCATCCATGCACAGTAAGACAAACTGGTTTAAACCTTGCTATTGTCTTAGTGATGTTTGGGCACTGTTTTCAGCTTTCCATACCAGTGGTAGCTGGAAGTGATCCCTGCTGCCTAAGAGAGCCCTTTCCTCCATCCTCCAAGTTTCACCCCTCTGGAAGAGAGAACACATTACAAAGGGCAACAAGTACACCTTGCGAGATATCACACATCAGAGAATACTATTAATCTCATCCACAGAGTCCTAAAATTGCTTCACACCTCAAAGAAAGTCCTGGCAGTTGCAGTTTTTTCCACAGAAATGTGTGTGCACAGGTCTGGGAAAGCTGGCAGAGAAGGCTCAGCCAAGGCTTGAGATGGACAGCAGAGGAAAAATTTGCACAAAGATTAGCAAAGTCTCTTCCCCTTTGGCTCTCTACCTGTGATATATAAGCTGTGCTGCTGTGTGTCACTCACTTCTTTCTGCGGAATTTACGTCCCTTCTCCTGTTAAACAGGTATGCAGTAAAGTGTTGGTCAGCAGTCTAGTCCAGCAGCACAGTGAACCCATCCATCCATGCCAAGCTCCTTTCCCCTCACCTCTTCCCCTGGAAGCCATGCCAAACCTTCCCTCTGACAGCAACCACATGCACTTTGAATCCTCTTTAAAAAAGTGTGGGTAAGAAAGTTCTGGAAGTGCTGGACTTTAAACAGAAATTCACTGCCTTTGGAAGAAGGTAGTTAGAGGTATGTGATGTTTATTTATGCATGGAAAAATAAATCATTAAAGATGGGAATGCCTTTCTTGCAGTAACAGAAGCTTTCACTGCATCAACTTCACGAGCAACAACATCTCAAGCACCAGTGCTGACAACAACTGCAATCAGAGCTACAGACGAGTCTATCACAAGCAGTAAGTGAAAATTCTTTGAGCTAATTGTTGATGCTGTTCCAGCATTCATTCAGGAAACAAGCAGCAGGATCTTGTAACTGCATTATCATAGGCTTGTCTTCAGTGGGATAACCCACCTATGGGACACAGAGCGGCTTTCTCTGCAGTGAAGGGAGCCCTGTTCCTGTAGATCTTCAATTTAAATGAAATATTGTTTAAATAATTTAAAACTAGTCTGCAAGCAAGACATAGATGTGTTTTGTGTGTCTGCATATGTACGTATGCAAAAATGAGGAAGTAATTTGAATGTTGTTCCTTTATTAGGCTCTACACCTTCTGCATCTACTGTTACACAACAAATAACACAAGGTACAACAACACAACCACCAGTAGAAGTGACCACTACAGCAGCATATAAAAGTGACAGCACAACAAACAGTAAGTGATAATTTCATTGAGCCCTTTCTGATTCCTTGTACACTACATCTCTGTAAAACAGTATGGAGCAATAAAAAGAGGTAAAAAAAGAGTAGTTTTGGTTATGGATTTGAAGGTTTGGGAAAGCAGAACTATTCACCCTGCCATATTACTTATCTTTAAAGAATCTCACCCTAGAATCTTACACAAAGAATATTATACCTTTGATTTGTAGTGCAAGTGTCCTGAAGCCATCACACAGGATTCTAATCTCCCTGTAATTGAGATGTATTTGGAAGGGTTTTAATTTTTTTATTTTCTTATGTGATTGGGTTGGGTTTTTTATAAGTATTTCCTAAAAAATAAGTGATTCCCTGTCAGCAGAGTGGTGTCAGAACAGCCCCCTTTGGGTTTTTTATTCTGTATATGTTACAATGCTACAGTTACTTATGTTCTATATTATGAGTCACAGTACTGAAAGCAGAGAAGTGATACTAATTACCCTGCATCAATCTTAGGAATATATCTCCATCAATCTTCAGAATAATGTGTGCTGGCCCAGCACATCAGATTGGATTCTAGAAAAAGAAAATTAAAAAATCAAACAGATCCAGCAAGTAGTTGGATTAATTTAACAAAGTATATTAACATCCAAAATGAGCTCAGTAAACTTAAGATGAAATTCAGTCTCCCTTTATTTTGCCTCTGAGCTGCACTGAAAATATTTGCTCAAGTCTTTTGCTGAACCATAGTTTAGAAATACTCCATTTGTATACCTAATTAACTCAAAAAATTAAAAATCATTACCACAGATATTAACTCAGTAGTCAGTGATACACCAGTGTTCTTGGAATTGATATTTAGAGCATCCTGTACTGTCACAACTTATTAGAACTTTACTTCCTTTGGTTTCCTCACCTAAAAAGGGAGTCCTATAAAATGGTTTTCATGCTTGCTTTGTGCAGATTTTCCTTTAAAGCCACCCCTCACTGAGCTGAGCATGCTAAACTGCCTGGAGAGCAATCACCCTTTCAGTTAGTGGTTACATCTTCTGATGCAGCTTTCCCACTGTGCTTGGTATACGGAGTAGTCTGATTATCAGCCTGAAGTCTTTTGGGTTTTGGCTAGGCTTTTAAATGCCAGTTTCAGTGAGTCACAGAATACAGTCTGCACAGGCTGCTGAAGTGATACTGAAGGCCACAGAGAATCTTTTTAAGCCTTCATTTGTGACACTCCGAGACTGTCAGAAGCCTGCAGCATGGCACATCATATTACAGATGCAGTTCCTAGTCCTTTCAGTTTAGCAGAGGTTCTTTGGCTTGTGGGTACCAGAGTGGCACAGCCACCTGGAACTAAACCTTGTTGACAGGTAAAGCTCCCAGCAGAGGAGGGAAAGCTAACAAGGAAAGGCATGCCTGCCAGTACAGCTTAGCTCCAGCCACTGCTCTGCACTGATGCTCCAAAACACTGGTGCTGGGGGTATGATAGTGCTGGGGGTACCACTAGGCCCGGGTGAAAGGTTTTTCACCAACACACTTTCTTTCCATTCCTCTTATGTTCTTTTCCCACCAGCTGGAATTTCCCTAGTTACTTGGGTTATTTGTTTTTAAAACTCCTCATTTAAGCTAAAACCTACACCCCAAACTACCAAAACTTGTGATAAAAAAATGTTGATAAATGAACACAAAAACAGGACTAACCTGCCTCTCACTCCCCTTTCTAAAAAGGAAAATTAAGGAAGACATTGGTATTGCATTTTCTTTCAATGCTGAGTAGTATTTGGAAAAACTCTGTATGTGAAAACCAATTTTAGTGGGTTTTAAAGCAAAGCCTGGTCTACCTTTCAAGAAAGTCATAGCCTTGGTTTCAGCACAAACAAGCGGGACAGGGCACAAGGTAGTGGTTTGGGACAGGCATGGTGCAGGGGCTGTGCAGATATGCTCGCAAAAAACCCATAGACCCCTCAACCCCTCTGGCTGCTGGCTAGAGCCATCTCTGTTTCTAACCCATGTATTTGCATGGCAAGATGCCATTGCCTTCACTGCATTCTCCTAGTCCCTGCCTGTGTCCCCAGGCAGTAGCACAGGGCTTGGGAGAGTTGCATTCCCTGAATCAGGCACAAGGCATAGAGAGATTTCTGCTCTCCAAAATGGACAGGAGATGAAGGTTGTCTACTCTCTTTTTCACTAGCACTCACTTCTCCCGCTTTTTGGACTGGCCGTATGGGACTGAGGCAGAAATTGGTAGTGCCTTTATGACACTTCAAAATTTACTTCACTACACCTGATTTTCAATAAAAAGCCAGCAACTCTGTTTTGCAATGGAGGTAACTGCTTTCTCTGCTTCAGTCCCTGCTAAAAGCTTCAGTAAATGATTGCATTCACACAGCAGAGATTTGACAGGGCTTCCTGTCTCTGCTGCAATTTCTGTGGCTGCTGTCACCTTTTATTATAAATTCAGGAAAAGCCCCCAGTGCTCCATACGCTGTGAAATCATGCAAACAACTTTGTCTTCTTTCTTTTTTAAATCCTCAGTATTCTTTTCCTCTACAGGCAATAAGTACGATCTCTTCCTTTTTCCCTTCCTGTCCTGTATATTATATTGGAAGATAAGCAGTAAAACTTGTCTCTTTAACCTCCTAATTTATTAACAAAGGGGTCAAATCCAGGAGTTCACACTTAGTTAGAAAGTGAGCTCACTTGTGCAGTTCAGGTCCCAAAACAAGAATTTATACGGTGCCACACTACAGCAAGTTGCATCTGCAATCAGGATTTCATATCCTGGGAGACTTAAGAGTTATCAATGAGAATACAAAATGAAGTGCAACAAAAATTATGTTCTTCCTCCCTTGGATATGGAGCAAGCATTTTATTCAAGGTCAGTGCTCAAGGTATTAAATTACGAGTAAGAGTGGATTTTTGGCTCTTGTGTTTCTGATTTATCTCATGACGCTCTCCTGGATGATGATACATCATGGTGCAATGAAATATTAAATATTAAGAAGTGGGAAAGGGAAAGAGTGGAAGAGATACCTTTTTCTCTTTTCACCAAACTACAGGTAATTACTTCAGTAAAACTATCACAAGAGTGTTATGGTAACATGTATTGCTCTCAGGTCATTGCCACATGCTATAGGCAACACTGAGTATAGCTGGCTGTTGAAACATGTTAGGCAGAGAAATGTTTTAAAACAAGTATTTTTAAATACTCAGGGTTTTTTGCTTACCAGAAAATGTAAAGCTGGCAGACAGCAGATGCACTCAGCTATGGGCTGAAATCTGCTTGGTTACCTCCCTAGCAACTTTCTGTTCCTCTGAATGGACGTGAAGTTGCATTGGGTTTGCTACACTGGGTTTTTTCAAAGCTTTCATGAATGCACTCGTTAATACAAACGGTTTCTCAGGTTACTGATTACAGGGGTGAGGCTTAAATGTTTGTTTATGTTAAAGATAGGAGCTCAAGGGAGAAAGTTTAGTCTTCCATCGACAAAGCACTCATGCTGGTATTGTAATGTGGTTTGGGTGCAGTTCCTTCTTCCATGTAAAGGTGTTTCCTTGATTGATTCATTGGCCAAGTAAGGTATAAACCCATGTACAGATGTGAATATTCTTTGCAATGCATAGACTATATGCAGACTATTTGCCGCTTACTTGAAGCATCTTGTGATGTTTAAGATCGTTAGGTAACAGTCTGCTGTAAAGCAAATTTAAAGTACTGTTGGGAAATGCCAAAATATATGTGTATTGTGTGTACGCTAAGTAGAAAATCATGCTAAGATCAAGTGAGGGTGTGTGGAATTACAGATGGTTAAAGAAAATAAGGGGTTTTCAGAGCACAAAATGTAAGGAAATACCTGAGGCTCAGGCAGCATCTTTGAGAGCAGTTTCAGATTCGCTGTTGTTGATTATCCCTTTGACAAATACGTGTTAACGCACTGTCATTTATCCTATCAAAGTATCAGCAGGGAGAGCTGCATCACCACCAGGGAGTTATGCCACTGCGGCAATCATCCCCATTTGGACAGCTATTTTACAGTCTTTACTGCTTTACCATTTTTATTCATAATCAGCTGTTGACAACAAACCCATTAACCGATGTTGCGAGTGCTTTTGCAGCAGCAGCAGCAGCAGCCTCCCTTCTCCACTGGACTGCTTTCCTGTGAGCCCAGGCCTCCCCCCGCCAGGCAGCCAGAAATCTCTGCTGCAGCTGGCTGAGCTAAGCGTGATGAATTACTGCAGCGATGTGTCGGTGGGGATGGCAGAACTGAGTCACTATGTGCCCGCACAGAGTCCCCCGCCTGCTCCTGCGCAGAGCATGGGCACCACAGTAAGGACTTGCACTGTCTCCTCCTGCTGAGATCAAATTAAACCTTGCATAGATATGAGTTATGGGATTTATCAGAAAGGCAGCTTTCTAGCAGGCATACTGCTCTGTCAGCGCTGCCATTGCGTACGTGAGGAATGGCTGGATATGGATGCTTCTGTTCTTTTGGCACAAAATTCAACCTCCTAAGTGTGTTGATGGTAGAGTCTGTGCTGTGTATTAGGCGTAAGGCTTGGAAGCTGCTTAAAAGCCACAAGTCAACAGAGAATTGGGTTGCTAGGATTTAATCTTAGGGTAGTACAGTGGAATTAAGGTTGTGTTTTTCATCTTGGAAATGTGCAAAACTGGCATGCAGACTTTTACACCTCTACTTCAGCCCTCAACACCGAGCGCGCAGAGTCTGTTCTGCAGTCTACTGAAATAAATGCAGCAATCTTCACATGGAGCCCTAGGTAAAGGTGTGAGTCATACCTGGTGCTATCTGAGTAGCAGGAAGAATCTCACCTAGGCTGAATTAAAAACAAAAAAAGGAGATGCTAGCATCCCTCCCTTCTCAATCCCCTGCCGAAGCATATCCAGCATGCAGCCCGCGTTCCCAAGAACAATCTGTTCTCACGGCTCCCAAACACAAGAGGAGCACCCAGGGCTGGGCTGCTGCCAGGACTGATAGGACGCCTAGAACGTGTGATCCCCATGGGAAAACAGCTCTCCGTGGGGTTACAGGCAACTGGCTGCCTCCCTCACCATCTCTCCCACACACTGATTGTTTTGCAGTGTTCACAAAGCATATTTGTGTTCAAATGTGTCTGCACATGAAGGTGTTCGGTTAGTCTGCCTTGCTTTTCATTCTCCCATGCAAGCTTTTACTAATTTCTGATAGGAGAGCCACGAGATGCTTGCTGTTGTTGCTGTTACAAGAGCATGCATCCTAAAGGGAGAGGGAGGTTCTCTAGGTTTTTTGCTTTTCTTTTAATTGACCTGAGATTAGAATTTACACATTTTTAGGCATTTAAAATATGAGTCTGAAGCAACTGCTGTAAGAAACAAAAGTGGAAGAATTTTGCTTTTAAAGATTCACTCAAGACTTCTACGACGAGAATGCAGGAATTATTAAAGTTCTTGGATCCTTGCATTATACCACAGTAAAAAAATGAGGTAGAAGAGCTTTTTACACTCTACATCATTAATCTCTAGTGAAAATCAGACTTGCATATTGAAGAGGTACAATGCTGAGGTTTCTGGAGGGAGCTGACAGTGAAATTATGCTTTTCATCACTAGAATTCCAATGAAAGTTTTAGGCATTTAAGTTTGTTCTGCATAATTTTTGGTGTGGTTTCCTTCCATGCCTCAACCTTCAGAGACACCATCCCTGGCTGTCCAGCTCCTCTCAGTTCCCAATGTTGTATGAATCCCCTGACTCCGGTGACTTCAGCTCATTCTTTCTTGGCTCATTGATTTTTTGAAGCTTGCCTTTCCAAAGTATTGCACTTCATTAACAAGAGGGGAAGTGAAAGGCCAAGTTAAAGGTGTGTGGAAGCAGAATAGGAAGCTTGGGCACTGAAAGATTTTTCCCCTCAAAAAAGGGTTCTTTGAAGGGCCAAACTGATAACCAGTTTCTGAATAAAGTGTGCAATGAAGCGTCCCTCAAGATTCAGATGTTGAATGTGCATGATGTTGCACTCATTGTACTAAAACATGTCTTGAAGTTGTTCTAGTTCTAGTGTTTGAAATTCATATGAAGAGGCACTGAAAACACTTTACAGCTCAGTCACATCTCTAATTTATACCAGAAAGGAAGTATAAGGTTACTCTTGGGCACCCCTATGTTTTATTCAGTATGCACTGTCTGTTATGTTGAGGTTTGAGCATAGACACAGGAATTATCAGCTGTACTGGAACAGCTTACATTCTTTCTTGTTGTCATTAGATGACCTTCAGTTCCCTGGGCTCGATCTTGGACTTACCTTGGGCTGGAAATCTTGTGATAAAGGTGGCCTTGATCCTCTATTGACTGTGTGAGAGCAGAATTGAGACATTTTAATTTCTCACACATTAATATTCAGGGATATATTATTTCTTAGGCCTTAACAGCACAGAACAAAGTAATTAACTCTGCACTTAATTACAAACCCTAAAACTTTTTACACTATCACATTATGTGACAATTATGGCTGAAGCTTACTTTTTATTTATTTTGTTTAAAATAAAGGTGAAGCTTCCCTCTTCTGCTCATGTTGCTTTTGGTGCAATACTGTCTAGTCATTCAGGGCTTCCAAGTCAGAGCTCTAGGTTGTCTTCTGCACAGGTGTGAGGCTCTTTCTGATGCTAGGATGTGGTTTAAAGATGCCCCAACTATGCCAGTAGTAACAACTCCATAGAAATGTTTTGTCATTTGACAAGCAATTACCAGAAGCTGTAGTGCTTTCTGACCTGAAGTCTCTTCTATGATGGTGCCAATTTTTGTCTGAGGGATGGTCCAGGATCTAAGACAATGCTTATAGAGGTGTATCTTGCCTGAATATCTGTCTCATTTCCAGCTACACAAGCAAATGGAACACAGTTGGCACAAAATGAGAGTTCAGATGCTTCATCCACTAAGGGATGGTTTTCTTCATCCACTGAGGGATCGTCCTTTTCACCTACAATCTCTCTACAAAAAACCACTTCTGCTCCTGGAACCTCAGGTAAGCCTTGAAAAAATGCACTCTATTTTTCTATGCAAGCAGTTAAAAAGATGCAAATCATTTTGAATCTTTTCTTCATGTGCTGTGCATTGTCCTGGAATGAGGGCCACCTCTTCATTAATGCAGGGTACACTGTGGCTATCTCATCTAGCTATGAAATTATGATGAGCGATGGGTGAACTTCAAAACATTTAGTTGGGATACTCTGTGTCATTACAGGAGGATATAAATCACTAAAGGTAGTAGCAATCTTTATATATGCTCTATGTGGTCACTGTAGCACTGACTGCCAGAGGAGGTCATTAAGATAAATTCTCTGGCTGCAAAGCAAAGGAGACAAAGGAGAAAACAGCTATAATTTTTACAATTGTTAATAAATCTGGAGGGCAAGTTAATGCATATTACCAACTAAATGACATTGTTCAAAGTACAACATGGTCACTTGCAAGGTCAAAAAGACATTAATCTTTCCCAACTCCAGTCTTGTTACGTTGTTTTTCTGGGGGTGTGTTGATGTATTTGTCCACTAAACAACACAGTGTAGATGCCAGGTTATGAGAATGATCATTTATTAATCTTCTAGCTGGCTTAACTTTCCCAGATTTTGAAGAGCCACTTCTTCAGGTTTTCTTAAGGTCTCTTGGATCTTCACTCAATATTTACTTTCAGCTACATGTGTATAAATCCAATGAGGACACTCGCTTTGTTTGCATATCCCAATTATTATTCATGTTTAACATCCCTCAAGGGATACAAGCCTTTTTACAACCTCTGGATTGTGTCTGTGGGAGATAAGCATGCACATGTATTGTGATTTTTAACTCATAGAAGATAGGACTCAATATAAAAGTGGAGTAACGTCATATTCCCAGTATGCATTAAAGCACTTGGAAACATGCAAAAAGATACTATAATAATAAACATTTTAAGGAAGGTGAATGTGTATTTTTTAATGTTTAATCCAAGGTCATTGATTTATAGAGGATTCTTCACAATTAGTCACAAAACAAGTAAGCCTATGCCCCATAATGCATATATTGTGAGCTGTAGTGATTATCCTGCTAGGTTTTGTGTCTTTTGGCGGACGGGCATGGTATGGAAACCTTATCATTGGTACACTGTGGTAAAAGCAGTAAATTACAGTGTTTTTAATCAAAGGCGCTCTCACAGAGGTAAATCCTCCAGGTTAAAATCAAATTGTAATGCATAGCTGGGTATGGATCACACATATTGAATTACCTTTTACATTGTTTGTATAATTACAGTTTACATTTAAAATTGGCCCAGAAAATTTCACCACTTTCCTTGGGTCTGTTTGTGGAAGTCATCACCTTACCCAGCTCACCTTGCTGTAAAACCACTAAATCTTGAGCTCAGGAACTACCCAAGATTCTTGGCTGAGAAAGGCCCATCTATCCAGAGGGGGGGAATCAGTCTAGGTGCTTCGCATAGCCAGCACTCTGAGTTCCCATAAAACTACCATTTCAAAATCACTTCCTCCTGCACCAGGATTTCCACATTTACACTTTCCTATCTCCTCACCAGCTCCTCGCTTCTTTCTTGCAACTTAAATATGCAAGGAATTCCATTACTCACCCTGATGAGTTTGGTAACTTATCCCAAATGGGTGCACATTTAGACCACCCTTGCCCCCTTTATTCTCTGTATGCATTAAAAACTTTAAGAAAAATATGATTCCCTCTAAACAGATTTATTCCCCTATGTGAAATCACTCAGGGCCAAGGGAAGAAATATGCTGTGCTGTACCCTAATAACTTTTAAAGCAATGCAAGCATGAAGCCAGTTGTTTTATCCTGTGCTGAGATTAGAAGAAGTGCTGACTCTGTCACAGCCATTAGATTATTTCTTCCCAGCTCTCTGGAATTTCATTCAGAGGCTTATACAGGAGCTGAACACCTTGTGTTCACTAGTGCAGAGCCTGGTAGGCTCAGTGGGGCTGATGCTGCGGCCCATAAGGGATAGCAGAGCTTGCAAGCCAAAGGCACCCAAGCCACAGCTTCTGCATGGCAGCTCAGGGGAAGACAAATTAATGTGATATTGGTTCAAAATTGAGTGTTTTTGTTTGATATGCTCAACCAAAATAATCCAGCTGGCTAACCTCAATGCAAAAGAATATATATATATATATATAGTTTAGAGACCATTTTACATTTTTTAAAAAAATGTCATTTTGCTGAGAAAATCCTTTGTTGCTGCAGAAATAAAGCACATTTTGAAGAGAAATTTCCAATCAGCTACATCAAAAGATCAGGGTGTGGGAGGAGTGCCACAGAAAGCTGGAGAGGGACTGAAATGAGTGGGGGAGCCTAGCAAACAACTTGGAGAAACATCAGAGAACACTATTGCTTGCTGTATTAAAAAAGATTGAAATCACCAACCACGGAGGAGGGACTGTGTAGTGTTCACCAAAGTTAGGGAAGGCAATAGGGATTGTTTGCAGCAAAGAGAGCAACCTGCATGCTTGCCATTGACACATACATTTCTCTAACTTTGGCTGTCATGTGTAATATACCTCCTACTCATGCTCCACTTCCACAGAGCCTTGCTTGCTAATATTTAATTTTCTCCTTTTGTTCAATTAACAAAAACTTGGAGATTTAATGGATCAGCCAGGGTCTAAATACATCCAAGGCACTACAAGTGTTGTAGCTTTTTTTCTGTGACCTAAACAACAAAAAAAGCCATAGAGCACAATGAGCTGAAGTTCACCCAGCAGGGTGGTAAGATCAGATGATCCATTATAATAAACTGTCAGATGAATCAACCTGCTGCATCTATTGATATCTTTATTGCACTCCTCCAATTATAAATTCTACTCCCTTGATTCACGGGATGCATTTCCCTCAGAAAAATACTTATGAGTAAGACAAGGAGGGTTTGACTCTTTCTGTAAGCAAACTGTGTAGGAACTCTGGATAATGATATTAGGTAAAAAAATCCCACTGTATCTTCAGCTTCTTCACAAAGAAACCTACACAAAAATCAAAGTGCCTGGGAGATGGAAAACACAGCAAAGCCTCAGATAACGCACTCACTCTATAGCATGGTCAGGGCAAGGAGGGTTTTTTTAACGTTCTTAATTTTACTTTGATTGCTTTGATTTATACTGTGGTATCCCCTCTGAGTAATCAGCCAAATTTATTCATTTGTTTTGCCAGTGAACACAGTTTCATGTGGCTGCCCTCCAAAAACAGAAGCAGCAAACTGCAGGGTATCCAAGCTGCTTAGCTTGCGGTCATTGGAGAACGGAGTGGGGAGAGGTTAGCTATTGGTCTTTTTCTCCATCTGTCAAGCTTCTAACCGGTGCTGAACTGGCTCAGGCAGGTATTTTCAAATCAAACCACTGTTACGTGCCAGATTTGTTATCCTTGTCCTCCTTATCACACATTGAGGACTCAGCACAGCCAGTGTTGCACACCTCGCTTCTCATGATGAATCTGGAACTCTTCCCAGATTGTTTATGCAGAGCATCTGCCCCCTAACTCACAGCCCCAGAGGATGTGATAAGCTCTGAACAGGCAGCTACAACAACTATGGTAGCTATGTTAGTAAGCAAAATGCTGCCTTTCCTTCTGTCCTTCTCTTTCTATAGAACAGCAGCATGTGACCCCACCAGCAGAAGGGGCACTGGATGGTTATTTAGAAAATGCAAACTGAAAGCACCTGCTGAACTGCTCCGATAAGCACAGCTTTGTTTGTGTGGCAGGGCTGAGCAATCTGAACAGAGGGTGAGCTGGTGCTTTGCTTGCATACTGGAGATGCAAGAGAGAGAGAAGGACAGGAGATTGTTCCTGTTTAATTTTCCATGCTCTAGCAGGATCTGGGTGAGATGTCTTTGGGAAAGATGCTTGTAATGTTAGTGTTTGTAGATGTGTGCTGCCTTTAAAGAATAACATGTTTTCTATCTGCGATCATCGCTGCTGTCTGGTTTTATTGCAGTGGTGAGGTCTGGCTAGGATAGCAGGGTGGTTTCGGTTGTGCCTGCAGATACTGAACTACAGATCACCCAACCCTTCCTGTTCACAGAGCGTACTGTTACCTGCATACAGCTTTGACCAACCTTAATTCTTTGGGATAGACTTCAGTATCATCTTTGGCTCAACTTGTTCTTTCTATTCATTTATTTGCTCTAATCTGAGCCAAGGTGGTTCACTTTGTTTGCATGAGTGAAGTTAACGGTGAATGTATAATTATGTTACAATCTTGAGGGGTGAGGAGTTCTTGGGTAAGCTCAAATTCCATCAGACTGGGGAGACAAGGTCTGAAGTTTCATAGAGTAGTGACCTATTTGTAAGACTTGACCAGGTCTTCTGCCTTTCTCCAAGAATATGCACACACAGGATTTTATACTTTGCTGGTTCAACCGTTGTGGTGTGACCTCATGGTACTTTTTGCCATGGGATCCCACTCCTTATAGACTTAAGAAATGGCAGTATTTGGGTGACAAGCAATCATATCATATTTGGATGTTTCCTTAACGCCAGCCATCTGTCCTGCTGCACTGTGTACTGTGCGTCATTCCAAACCTCCTTTGACAGGAGAGTTATAATTTCCCAAAAGCTTTTCTTTGGCCCTTGTTGTTAACGTTACTCAAATATGCTATAAACAATGCTTAATGAATCATTACAGAGATCCTCTCTGCACAAGGTGACATTGCTTTTTGCAGATGGATTGATGACATGATAAAAAGCTTAGGAAAAATGTCTGCTCTGGACCTTAGGAAGCCAGGGTAAGACAACTGTATACCTTCAGAGTACTTAGCATTACTCATATTTAGTATGCTCAAGCAGAGCTCTTACTGCTGACTTTTGAGTACTTGGGGTTTTAATCTGAATGTGCTTTTCATGCATGTTCAAGATTACAGTGCAGTTAAAGCTCTGTCCCATATATCATTAGCAAAAGTGGTTATATGCACCCTGGTGGCTCAAGTGATCTATGTTTTTAATTGGATGTAGAGAGGATGAAAAACAAGAGCAGCCATCCTGGTTTTCAAAGAGTACATTAACAGCAGTAGAGTGATGTGTTTCATTTGTAGAACAGCTCCAATAGTAGGAGCTGTCTTTGTGCAAAGCATCAGTCCAGAACACAGAAAAGTGCAGCAACAGTGTATGAGTGGATCTGTACTCCCCTGGGGCCCCAGACAGAAGAGGAGCAGCACTGCAATCCTAGGCACTCAGGGGAGAGGCCTTATGCCTGCCTGGATTTACAGCTGCTTTCATGCCACTCCATCTGCAGTCTCTCAGACTGGCACAGCTGGGACACAGAGGATGTGCCGGTGGATTATGTCTTCCCAGGGAGCTCCTGGGATTAGGTCAGATGCTTCACATTTCCCACAGGTGCTGTGGCGGCAGTGAACTCTGAAGAGACCCCAGCAAGGGGAGGTTTATGGTGCCTTCCAGCCTAGAGGAAGGTGACCAAACACTGTGATTTATACCTCAAAATAATGAATGACTGCTGAGGATGTAGTGCCTGAGGGATTTTTTGCCATGGTAGCTCCAGTAATCCAGTGTGAGAGGCCTCACCAGGTGGGCAGAGGGCCAGTCACTCGTCCCTGGCAGGAGACAGTCTGTCTTGTACAAACAGATAAATGTTTTGCTGACAGTTCACGCAGGTGTCTATTCTCAAAGACACGGGTGAGTTAGGTGCCCGACTCCCTTTGACTGTAGAGTGGTTGCGGGAGAGATTTAATGCAAAGCAATAAAAATCACTCTGGGAGTGATGGTTGCCTGTGGCTAGCCTCCAAATGTGAAGTATTCACAGCCGCCTTAATTTCCAGGCCTGCTATAGTCTAGACGCACAAAAGCAGCAGCATACTAACAAAAGGCTAACAAAAAAAATCAGTGTTCTGCACCAAAACCTTGTGAAGTGGCTGGGGGAAGCTGCCAGGAGTGGGCCAGTAAGCACTGTGTACTCTGCAAGGTCCATTTCTTTCTCATTACCAGTGCCTCTTACTCCTACTGCTTGGCAGCCTGTTAGCCAAAAGCACCAAGATAATTAATGAAGATTCATTTTTAAAGGCTTCTGTGACAATTGAAGATATGTCTCAATTAGGCACTTGAGTTTCTTTTATTAAAATGCTTATTTGTCACATAAATGCCAGCTATTGCTCCCAGATGCTTGGTTGGTTTTGGCAAGAGGAATTTCTTAAGAATGTTACCAGTTAATGTAGGATTTTCTTCTCTTGAGCAGAATAACAGCCTAGCATAGGCTGGACTTTGTATTCTGTTCTCATCTCCAAGGGGTGTCTGTAGACTTTCACAGTTCGGACTTTCTAGGCTTGGGAACAGTGTCAGACTGCTGGTTCTGGGGCAGCATTGCTTGTGGGTTTACTGAGCATGTTGCTAGGGCCTGTCAGTTTGTATGATTTGAAGACTCCAGGCATCTAAAACAGATACTGACAAACCTGTTCCTTCTGTTTTATTGCAGGCCTTCACCTGAGCTCACCAACACAATCAACAAGTAAGAGCAATAGAAGAGTTTGCTTTGTGCACACTGATGAAAAAGGCTGGTGTAGGGTGGGAGGGGGGCAGCCTGAAATGTAGTGCAGAGAAGCAGAGGAATGATGTTCAACGTGTAGCAATGCATTAACTTTGCTGTGCCTTCAGCTGAATGCCATTGTTGGAACTAGCAAATACTGAAAGGAAAACAGGGTGGGAGCACAAAAGAAACATCAGGTCTGGCATATCGCATGATGCAATGGGAAACTGATATAAATAGAGTGTTTACCAAGGAGCTTGTTCTTGTCAGTGGCTCTTATTCCTTGTCCTGTGGTTAGAAGCAGCAGCTCCCAGGGTAAGGCAAGAGTTTCCTGTGCTAGTGAACCTGTATTGTCCTGTTTTCCTTTCTCTGGGTTTATCAGGAAACAGTCCCTTCTGTACTGGTCCCTGCAGTTCTTGCTGCTGCTGCCAGCAAAAGCTTGTCTCTCATGTTACCATGATGTATATATTACTCCAATTAACTGTTATTCTGATCCCAGATCATTCCATAGCTGGAAAATATTTTCCAGACTCACTTTCCAGATTCAGAGAAAGTAGACAGGATGGGCTGGCTTGTAAGAAAATGGTTAACTGAGTTAAAGGTTTTAACTCCTTAATCCATACTATTCCATGTCTTATTTCAAGTAGTTAATATGCTAACCTATGGATTTTCTTTCCTGCATTACTCACATCTTGGTCATTTAACAGACAACAAGGAAAATAAGCAATGGATTTGAATCCTCAGTTTTTCTCCCGTAGAGATGCTGCACAAATGCAAGGATACACATTCATGGTTTTCAGTGTCATTTGTTTCTGTTGACATTTTCAGTCAGTATCCAGGATAACTCATTGCTGTGATAATTGCCTGCTTGCCCTGTATATCATGTAGTATATCAGGTAAGGTAGCAAAAAGGGCAGTAGCATTTCCCTGGGAAATCCAAAGCAATCACATGGAATTACGCATTCAGAAGAATTATTTCAGTCACTTGATGATGGCTCACAGTTTCCATCCTTACATTATCACCCCTCAGCAGACAGGCACCACAGGAGAGACAACTTCTGTTTGAAAGAAACAGCAATTTTTCAGAGATAGAGGTCTCAGGCAATAATTGTTTCCTGCACTGTAGCATCAGAATGTCTCAGCTGTGGCTGTATTGTTAAGGCATCACACAAGCACACAGTAAGTGATCATTTTTCCCCAGGAGTCTTCAGTCTCTGGCCAGACAAATGAAGGTGGGGGGTAAGGGCAGGAAGGAAAGGAAATAGAGACACTAAATAATCTGCCCAAAATTCACACAGCTGCACAAAATCAGAACAGCAATGAAAGAAAGCACAGTGTTCAAATCTTTCCCTTTGCACTACCAGTTAACCCACATAAATTTTTAAGTAGGACTACATGTGTCCTAGTTGCCTGAAAAATCCAGTATACTGGCATATCCAGTGGAGAAACTGGACCCTGATTGTTCTCTGCTTTGCTTCTCTTGCATCAGACAACTTACTCTTACAAATCTAAACAGGCTCGTATGGTGTGAGAATTGGAATATGGGCAAAAGGAGAATAGTGGAGGAAAAGCAATCACCAACACATTTCTCAATAGTGGGCCTGAGTTTAAAATCAGTGTAACAAGGAAGAGGGAATCCTGTATGGTAGGGACAAACAAACCTTGTTTGTTACTCTAATTCAGTGGTCTAGAGTTACAAGTATTGCTTATAAAAAAGCTTCTGAAAAAGTAGGGACATGTCATTCAGAGACTTAGCAGAACAAAATTGCATTCTAGCCCTCAAAATGGCTCTGAGAAATCAGTTTTAATGCCTCAGTTAATTTCTTAGTTTCCACCCATCAATTTGAGCTGCCTTCTGTTCTTTGGAAGGGAAACTGTGCATCCCTACAGGTGCAGGGTATGAGTGGGTACCTGAGCAGTGGATCAGAGCCTGCGACAAAACCTCAGTGACAGCTATCATGTTCTCGCTACTTACATACAGAGCTATATTCTCTACTGGGACCTCTGCTTAAAAGACCATCTTTGGACCACTTCACCTACTATTAGCACAGGGTTTTTTTAATTAGCAATGAAATATTTTGATCTTTCTTCTTTTGGAGGCAGGTCTAATTTTCACTCTCTTGCTTGTTTATTTGCTTGTCAGAAGTTTTCCTCTAGTGTTGAACATTACCTTAAACTCCTGAAAGTGAGAAAGTGTTGCTTATAACCTCTGAGTGGACAAGCAGATGATCATAGGGAAGACTGCACCCATGAAAAGTGTGTTTCTTCTAGGCCATACTAGATAAACTTTTCCATCCCCCTTGCTGAGTTACCCAGGTGGCATTGGAAGAATTATAGATGTGGAGCACCAAATGGTTCCAGAACTGGGGATACAAAAGTTGCTTAGAGAGGGTAATTTTTCAGGGGGAGTTGTTCGGTGAGTTCTGGCAGTTACATGTTAACCTGAAAGATTATATTTCTTTTGCAAATCTAGGTTTTTACAGTCCTGAGAGCACTCGTGAAAACAAGAAAGGGACAGGGAGTGACAACCACTATTCTAGTGAGTGTTCCTATTTTATTGTCCAGCTTTTGAGTTTTCAGTCAATCAGTTTGGCTTTCCATGAGTGATTGGAGTAGTGGGGAAATTAAGCTGGCAGCTTTATTTTCAGCCTCACCAGATGTAGACGCTATTACAAACCCAATTTAACTGCCTGCTACAAAAATTCTCTCAAAGAGAAGCAGAGCTTAACAAGTTGACAAAACTCTCACTGGAGAGCAGCACAGTTATTTCCCAGGACTGATTCAAAGCGATAAAACTGGGAAAGAAATGTGAACAGAGTCATTCACTGTGAGAGAAGACCCAGGGAAACACGTGGAAATGCTGTTATATACCATTCTGAATGCGTATTATATGAATATGTTGTTCTGAATGTACTATTTAAATATACTGCTCATATTGTCATGGGAGAGAAGGACTAGGAGGGACTCTTCTGCAGACTCTTCAGGCACTTGATGTTTGATGCTTGTTACTTAATCTTTTATTTTAATATTATGCATCTCTAGGGCAAGAATGTTGCTGCAGATCTGCTATTTCCTACCCAAAGTACTGGCTTAGCAAAATACGTTTGATGTTCTTCTACACTAAACCTTTCTCAGGGTTCTCCCTCAAGTTCTGCAGATGCACACACACGCATATATGTATGAATATTAAATATTAATTGCATCAAAAGCCATTGAAGACAGATGATGCTGTGGAAGGTTGTGGGAATGCACACGCAGCCTCCCCCGACACATGGCTTAGGCTACATTTAAATGTGGCCAACCACTGCCAGCAAAACGATAAATGGGGAGAAACTGGGCTTATGTATTTCCTCATGAAAGCTTCTCCTCATTACATAATTCTTTCCTTTTTGCTTCTTGGCTGGGAAACACCTGTCAGGAAATGGCAGATGGTGGGAAATAATATAAGGAAAGAAATGTCCTCATTTAAAAAGGAGATCTTGCATTTTTTATCCCTGGTTGTAAGTGCTGTGGGGAATGTTACTGAGTTATGTAACTCCTTAGTGTCTTTCTGGGTGTACAACATTAAAAGAGAAATAATCACTTCAGTTGCTGAATTTTGGATGAGTCTTGTTTTCAAAAAAGAGGAAAAAAATAAATTGCATGTATCAAAAATTTATTCCTGAAACATGAGTGTTTTGCAAAATTTTGGGGGCTGTCAACACTGGGGGGTGAATTGTGAATATTTTGATGGAGATGATGGTGTCAGTTCCACAGGGCACAGTTAAGTGTCAGGGAAGGACTAAGGCTGGGGGAAGAAAAGTGCCTAAATACCCCTCCACAAAGGCTGTAAGCCTGAGGCTCACTGGGTGTTGGAGGAATAACATGAACGAGTAGGTTACCCCTCTCCAGAGAAGCCAGTAATGTCTGATGAAGCCGAGCTGGTGCCTCTCGCCTTTGTATATGCAAGTGCCTGTACACGGAGACAATGCAAGCCAGGGGCAGTGGGCAAAATTATGTTGTTGGTTCTTTTGCAGGTGTTATCTTGCCAGTCGTCATCACCCTGATAGTTATTACCCTCTCTGTCTTCTCACTGGTGTCTTTGTACAGAATATGTCAGAAGAAAACTCCAGGTATTTGGCTTGCTTTCTCTGAAGGGGAAAAAGATCAATAAGCTTTTTATTATTAAAGATCTCTGGGGTCTTTTTAGACTACCTTAGCCATAAATGTTGGAGTAGTCTGATAGGAAAGCTTCTTGTATTTCAAAGTCTTTTGCCTAATGTAGGAAAATAACACTTCATTTTCAAAATCAGTACGAAGAACAGAGGGAGCAAACAGGTCTCTGATTTTTGGAGAATATATAATGCTGTAAAGCCTTTTGTTCATGCTTTTGCAGCTACAGAGAGCTAACAAACAGCTGTGCTAACACAGTCAATCAGGTAGAAAAAGACAGTGAAAACTAAGTTTAGAGATACTGTTTAACAAAATCACTATATTTATTTCATCTCTGTTCTAGATACAGGCAAAGGAATATCAATGCTTTCTTTTAGGAAATACCTGCTATATACACACATACTCACATATGCACTACATGTAAGTTTTCCAGTTACAGTATACGGTACATGGGAACAAAATCCCTGAGCAAAAAGTGTTTTCAGAAACATTTTGACAGGGCAGCTAAAGCCAGTATGCTTCCCTGCTGTCCACAAAATACTTCAGATAACAGGGTATCATTCCATTTGCAAATGTTTACAAAAGTTTCCTGAGCAGGCCACAGGCAAGTGTAATTCTCCAAGCTCTGAATCCAGACTGTGTTTTATTTCTCCCTGTGAACTGGCATGAGTTAGGAGACCTGTGCAGGTTTTCAACTGTGAAATCACCGGGACTTGGAAATATAAAATCACAGCAGGGTGTTGAAGCTGTAGACCAAGGCTAACAGTGTGTCACAGCCAATTTAGCCAATGACATGGAAAACCAGTCCCAGATAAACAGAGGAAGGTGTGATCCCTGCTTAGGAAATTACTGAGTATTTGGAGTCAAGAGGTAAAGGTATGAGGTGAGGAACATTTCCTTGCCAGCCTCCCCCGTGCACAAATGCCAGCAGGCATGGTACTGGCAAATTCATTTGGAAGCTAGATTAGGTAGATATCTGTGGTGCTTCCCATAGGATTTGCCCAGGCCTATCCAGTGTGCTTCCTCCACAGATGGAGAGCCCTGTGCCCAGTATCATGGGGCTAGAACTGGCTCTGTTTATCCAATGTAACCCCCTGGCCCCATCCATCTGCACACACTTGCATGTAAGAATAAAATACATTCAGTATATGATTCATTTGGGGGAAAAACCTGTTCCTCATTGATGGGGCAGACAGGCTCTGTTCTCAGATGTCATCCCAGGTTAAACCCCTCAGAGAGTACAGCCTAGCAGCTTGCTCCTTCACTGTCCTCTTCCTGTCTCTCTTAGCTCAGTTGTTACATACTGGAGAGCCATTGCATGCTTGCCTCCTCTGTGCCAGCTACCTGGGGATTCGGGAGCTGCAGGGAAAAATGTGCTCCTGCTGTGCTCTTGCACAAGTCACATATCATTTTCCTTAGTTTCCAGAAGTATCGATTTGGGCAATATCAGTTCACTTTCATAGATAACATGGTTATCTTTTTGGAAGATGAACTAGAAAAGTAATTACTATTCAAGCTGGTCAATTGTGTTAATGTGCTTAATGCAATAATGCAAAATCACAACTAAGCCTTCTGCTAGCGACTGCAATAGCTGTTTACTTAAGTGAGTTCCAGCAGTCAAAATTATATTAACTTTTTCCTTCTTCCAGAGAGACAAGAGAACAGCACTGAACAGTAAGTTGAATCCTGTTTTTTCATTGCTTAGAGATCTTTCATGGGGCACTTGTGATTGCAGCAGATTCTACATGAGATTTGCTTTGATCTTTCTCTATTTAAATGTAATAAGTAGTTGCTACCCCAAGGAGAAATATCCTATTGAAAGCGATGCACTTGCAGTTATTGTACACTAGTATGAATGGTAAGCATCTGTTCCAGCATATATAGAAATGTGATGGTTCTTAATTGTTTTCCAAGGGATCTTTCGAAATGGAGAAATGGTTTATGCTATGCTACAGGGCCCATTGGCCCAGTCTTTTTTCTCTTCTTTTTGAGTTTCTGCACCATTGATTTATTTTTTTTTTCATCCTTTCTCATCCCCCTTCTTTTGTTCATGTTTTCTCTCTTTTTAATATTTCTTATTCTGAATTTTCTCTTTCTCTTCTCCCCTATTATTTCATGTTACTCTGTCACATACTCTATCCACTAGTCCATTTGCAGAGGCTTAGTTAAAACAGTATTGGCTAAGGAGTTTGAGGAGAGTGAAACTGAGAATCATTACAAGATATATAGAAGCCATTGAGTCTGGCTGTGGCCTCCAAGTTTTGTATGTCCAAAAGCAACATTTGGGCTGCTGATTTACTTGCTAGCCCTGATTCCCTGGACATCTAAAGTGACCCTTTTTGCAACTCAACATCACCGAAAGCCTTGTATTGACAGAGAAAAAAAGATGACTCTCTTTTCCCCAGGTGCACTTCTGTGGAGTGCTAGAGTGACCCCAGAGTCATGCAACTTGATTTATTACCTATCTTAAGAGGAAGGTGTTTTCAGATATTTCGGTGTACGGTGTTTTGCATCACCACAATTTACACATGGCCCCATGCAAAGCCCATTTCAAGCCTGCCAGTACAGACTGGCACAGGTGCTGCCTCCTTCAGATCATAATCTTCAAATTTTGCTAGCCTCACCAACATGCAAACTCTCTGCTTGCTTGTTTTCTGACTTCAACAGAGCCCAGTCAGATAAAGAAGGAGTGAAACTTCTTTCTGTGAAGACAACTTCTTCTGATACTGGTGAGTATTTCCTTCATGTGTATGTCTGTCAACTCCTCTGAGCCCAGAGAAGAGCAGTTTGCAATGTTATTTCCAATAGCAAGATCATCTTCAGTGTCTGTCAGATCAAAATCACTGCAAACAGTTCTTCAACAGTACAAACTCCCAGACTGGGCGCCTGTAGAGCAGCAGTGCAGCTGCACTGTGTGTGGTATCTGTACTTGGGAATGAGAAGTATAACTGGTTCAGGAAAAATCAGTTTTTAAAATTATTGATTGTAAGTGATCTACAGCTTGGCATGTTCAGGAGTAACTCCGATCATGATATTTATCAGCTAGATCTGGATAAACAAGGGAGTCTGGGGACTGATCCCAGGGACCAAAAGGTTTGGGGGTCAATGCTGTATGTCAGCAGTGTTCAGTCATCCCTGTACCCAGCCACCCTTTGCATTTAAAATCCTACTCTCATTACAAATTCCTTTGTCCTGTGCTTCAGTGATGTGGTTTCTTACAAAATATGTGGTAATAAAGTCTAAAGGAACAGAGGTTATAGATTACATGCACAAAAGAAAGCAAAATCTCATTCATAAAAGCAAAGAGATGGATGCAGTTATACGTTCCGCAGGAAACAGTAGTGCAAAATAAGACTGAGGCAGAATAAAATTCTGGCTAATATGATTCCCACTATCTAAACCACCAAACATACAAACACCTCTCATGGCAGAGCTACTCATGATGAAACTTTTCCCCTTCATCCATTGCTTCCTCAGCCATCTGGGTCCCACCTTTGCTCTCTTCCTTCATCTAAGGAAGACCCCAGGAAAAACAGCTTCATACTTTATGCTTTTTTGGCCATCTATTTCTCCCACTGACATTTCAGAGATTGCCTGGTAGCTGCTCTCCCTTTTCCTCTGAATTCTTGGGAAGCCCACTGAAACACAGCACTTAATCTGAAGTATCCTCTACTTGCTGGAGAGGCACCGTCTGCCCTCTCCAGCCTTCTCTGCAGCTCCCAGAAGCTTTTGTGTGATCCAGGAGACAACAGGGCTTCTCTGGCAGGCCTTGCCACAAGCCATAGTTATATTTCCAGCAGCCTCGCCGACACAGAGCAGTGTGCTAGGAGGCTAGAGGGGGGTAGAAGGGCCTGCTCCATTGCAAGATACATCATTCTGCCCCACTGCTGTTGAGCAAATGCAAACTAGGCTTTGGCACTTCAGCAGCTGTGCTGTGGCACTTAAGTGACTGTACTTCAAAGCTTTGTGATTTGTGAATTTTTAGGGGTGGATGCGTTATGTCTTTGGGAATGGACTTTTAGCTTTATTTTAAGGAATATGAAGTTGCGTGTATGTTTTCATTTAAAATCAGTGGGGTTTTTTTGAAAGCTGGATGAAGCCAGATGCTGGAATTGATAGACATTCCTTGATTGATTCTTCCCTCACACTGATCTCAACAATAAAATAACTTCATTGACAGCAGCAGAATGTGTTTTACAGCAGGGTAAATGAGAAAAGACTCAGGTTCACTGTTTTGGGTTTGGTCTCTTTTTCACAAGATGAGATCTGATGCCTGTTAATCAGCTTCTGGTTCACCAAGTATCTGAATGTCTTTCATCCAGAGGATGCTTGATATTCTTTTTTTTACTGAAGTATGATGTATGCGTGCTATAATTGGAAGGTATGAGTCATAACCACTTAGAAGGCAAGATTCTTGCCCTCTTCTCATTAATACAATTCATATTTAAACTAGCTACCATTTTCTCTTTAATTCTTACATTTTTGTGTGTTTCAAAATGAAACATGCTTTCACAGGAATGGAAGTCCTGTTTTTCTCCAGGATTCTAGACACTTACTGCTTAAATTAAAAGCACTCTGAAAGCAGGGCCTGCTTTCTTACAGAAATATTTGTCACTCATACCGGTATATTTGAGTGTGTTAGGATGCCTGCCCATTTGAATGAGATTTACTTGCTGCGTTAAAAGCTTGAGCATGAAAGCAAGTGTTTCTTACAGTACAGACAGAACTTGACAAATGCCTGAATCATGGTCCCTCAACTGAAAACAATTGCACTGCATAAAACTTCTTTACATGCACCCTTCCTTTTCCTTTCCAGACACATAAAATCCAGCTCAAATAAAGATGAATTGTCCAGCTGCTTAGAAATTTGTGTTGTAGCCACCTCTGATTGTACATGCTAACAAAATTACAAAGGGTTTGACTAAATCTAGAAGATTCTTAAGAGCAGCCTTAACCTTACAGATAGATCTACATTATCCTCTCATTATCAATAGCCTACTCAGCTGCCTATGGTGAAGCATATATACAACAAAATTCTGCTTTGACATGTATTCAAATTAAGCTTTATTAGAAGTATACATTATTTTTCTTTATTTTTACTTTTTATCCCAAACAGAATATTATAAGATTATATAGTTGTGTTAAAACTATGTAAAAACATATAAACAAAAAGATATGACCTACAAAGTGCTCAAGCAGGCAACCTAGAAAAACCCTGTGTCAGTGTTGTGGATGATATGTCTTGATCAAAGGATATGAGAAGTTTTATCTTGACTTATTTTATCTATCTAAAAACTAAGCTGCACATAGACAGCTGAAAGAGATGTATGTGTCCAGAGGGCTATTTATCCCTTCTGCCTTAGACATGTATCTTGAACTGAAATGAGCTGACCTATTCAGGTCCATTGACTACTGAAGGATCCTGTTTTAGGGCTTCTAAAATTAGGTTCTGACTATAAATTGAAAGAAAAAAAAAGAAAGACTCATTTTTCAGAAGCGTAGCTGAAATAAACTTAATCAAGAATAGTATTTCAAACACCTACCATTAATGTGAAGGAGTAAAGGAAGAGAGCTCAGTTAAGCCTGGACTGATGTTATGATTTTAAATGGAGCAGTATCATCAAGAACACCCAGTAAAACTGAGCTTTAATATTCTCATTTTTAAAAACTCATCTTAGAAAAATAGCTTTTCTGATGGCTATGGTCTGTGAGGCATAACTGGCTGAGAATTGATGTAAAGTAAAAAACCAGATGGGCAACACTAAACACCTTGAATTTTTCATGTACTTTGCCAGTGAACTATAACACCTGATGCAAGATAAGTGCCTGTACTTGCATCTTACATGAAAACTCAGGTTGGATAAAAATGCTCAGGATACTGATTTGTCTCATTTTACACTAATGTACATATGCAGTACTTACTGCAGCCGTTCCAGGTTGAATGTACAGGCATATTTAGGTTGTCCCTTCCCAGGAAGAATAAAAGGTCTTCTACAATAGGGAGCTCTGCAAAGCCTACCAGCAAAAAATGTTTCTTATTTGGGATTCAATATAGCCCACAGAACTGCATGTTCAGCTTGTCAGTAGTAGATGTTTCCCAAGAACGTAAGATGGAGGGGTTTACTTGATGGCTAAGAGATCAATACTAGCATCCGTGATAGTAATGGTAAAGCACTGCCTATCTTGAAAACATCTCTAACTTTTTCTGTAAGGGTTCACACATATTTCACCAAAAACCACTGAAGGTACTGAACACGTTTCAGGGTTCATGAAATGCTGAAGGATGGAAACTCCTCAGTAACAGAAAGGTTGGGGAATAGAAATTGAGGTAAGGTTACTCCATGCAGACAAATGATGTGTGATAGAAATACTGATACCTGAGTAATGCTGTGAAAATTTTCCTTTATGGCCATTGCCTGGAGTGCCCATTCTAGAGCACGTAAAATGTATAAAGGGCCTTTATTGTAGCAGCACACTAGTTCAATATTCAGTATAAAGTCTCATATCAATGTGCAGGTGACACAATACTTCAGAGCTGTTAGGTATAATCCTGGCACCTTAAGCACAAGCTGATTCATTAGGGAATGTGTTCTAACCAGTGTGTGCTCTTTCAGATGACAGGGTAGGATATTACTTATTTGGCTTGTAGGGGTATTGCCTGCTTTGGCTTGAATTTGCTCAAAGGATATTAAATGTGTCAAAGCTGATGTGCTCAGATTTTGGTGAGGCACCTGGAATGGGAGGTGGCTGGAGAAAGGTCCATGGTAAATGTCTGCATTCAGGCTTCCCGAGACACCCACTGTGCACACAAATGAAAATTCAAGCACTGCTAACTAAACAAGGCTACGAAAATGTACCAGGCAAACATGGATATTTGAGGAGACATCTGATATGTCACATGTGAAACACCCTTAATTCATTGTAATCACACTGTAGAAATGGGTCTGTCAATATCTACAAGCGCTCTCAGATGGCAGTGTAGTACAAAACAGTATGAAGCCAGGATGTAGAACAACCAGCATTCCCGTGTGCTCCACATCTCTTCCAAAAGCTGCTGCTGGTTAATAGTAATAACAACCTTAGAGCTGTTACCTGCTTCTTCAACTGAATGCACCTCCTGCCTGTAGATTTTCATAACATTTCCTGGGTGCATCGCTTGCACAAGAAGAGCTACCTACCTTGAAGATGTGTCCGTTCGTGGCATAGATTAACTGGACCCCATAACTTCAGCCACTTTTGAGATGACCCTGGTTTGTGCCTGCAGCATTCCCCTAGAATTCCTGAATTTCCAAAGGCTTCTCTACAAAGGCCTTCAACACCAGAGGCCAGTGACTGTACTGTACATAGTGACTAACCACTGAAACCACACCAGAAGAAAGAAAAAATCCTTCTCATTCAGCGCAAAACTTACCTCAGTCATTGGGATATACAAGAAGTTCAGCACCTGATGAGACAGCCCACTGCAGTGCTAGGTTTTGGACCTGGAAAATCCTCTAGTCTTCTTAAATGACATGGTTGAATAAAAATATCTTCATCACCACTTTCCATGAATCTCCAAATGCTGAGACTGTTCAACTGTTCTGCCCCACACATCAAGCCATAGATATGGCTGTGGTACAACAGGACAAATCTGGAGCTGGGCAGAGAACCATTCCTCCTCGGTTTCTATTATGCCAAGCACATCTGAGCATGCACTGCAGCATTTAAGAAGGTAAGAAATCTTTGGGGTTTACCTCATTAGAGGCCCAATCCAGGGAAATTTACCCCTGCCAGGGGGCATGGTTCCACAGTGGGCCATGTGCCTCCTCAACATGTGTTGGTACTTTCATCTGTTTCTTATTTTGTCTAGGATCCAGGTGGATGCCTCTAGGAGCAGGTGAAGAAGCTGAATCTCTAAGTGAGGCACTCCGGCACTGAAAATTCCCTTGCCTCCTGCCCTGCAAGAAAAGCAGTGCAGGTCAGCAAAGAGCAGTCAGCAGGCATGCTGCATGTTTAGAAGTGGTAAGAGCAAGTTTTCCTACTAATGTGAGGATGTGATATTGATTATTACTTTTTCCTGTTATGAGCTGTGCTTTCAGTGTCTTATTTCTTTTCCCTGCAGGTGAAAAAACTAGAAGCTGCTTCAATAGAAAAGGGTCCCCTCGCAACAGATAGAAGTACCTGCTTCCCTTTCTGTCTCTTTCTCATTTCTGATACTCTAGGGGTTTTTTTACCTTGCTTTGTATAATGGCCCGAAGTTGTATTTTCTTTCTTCACAGAAACTGAAGAATAAACTTTCTCAGCTTTTTGCAGCTCATGGCTGGATTCCGTTTGTGTTTACTCACCTGCACATGTTTCCAGCTGAGACTTTTGGGCCAAACTGTAGTCAAAAGCATTAAATAGCATATATTTCCTGCTATATTTCTAATTCAGTTTGTGACCTGTGCGTATTTGCAAGGGTATCTAAAGTGGTTTCTCACAGTCAGAGACTGCTGAGGGTCAGCTGATGTTTTCATCTGTGGAGTGTTTGTTAACTTTCCAGCCTGCAGCTTTCTGAGATGTTCTGATGGTGGGAGAGCCACTACCTACCTTTTGCTAGCAGTTCAGCAGCAGTTTCATTCCTATCCTTCACCTGAACCCGTCCATACGTTCTCCCTCTGCCATGGTGAATTGTACAGATCCTTCTGTCCTGCTGACAGTGCTGAGGAGCAGTTTGCAGGGGCATGAGTGAAGTGTGTGGCAGGGGAGTGCTGGACCAGTGGCACATACCAATCCCACCGAGTGCATTCAGCTGCTGAGTCCCACGCAATGCTGTTCTCCAGCACCAGTAATGCAGCCCTCCTTCTTTCAGTTGAGCATGGTAAAACTAGGCATTTACATGCCTGTGTCTGTAGAGATAGTTTTATACTTTTATAAAAAAATAGGCTTCTGCAATCATATTTTATGAAAAACTTGCTTTAATTCTTTGCTCCAAACTAGATTGCCACTTATGATCAATTTCTCAGCAGCAGATATTACAGTGAAATAGCAGTGCAGCTCATTTTTTTCTTTCATTAAAGACAGTGTAAGCTGAGATACAGTACAACCTATTTTTTATGTCAAAGACTATTTTTTTATATCCCTTTCCTTCCAGCTTTTCTAATGTCTTGCTTTTCCTGGGCTTTGCCCAGGTGGAAAACTTTCTGTACTCATAGTGATATGACCTATTAACACTCTTTCATATCAACATGTTCTGCAGTGTATGTGTATACTGAATAATATGTTCAGATTTTTAATCAAATAGAGAAGGGAAGAGGACATTATAGTGAGATTAATACAACAGCCTTCCACAAAGATGACACAAAGAAATGTTTGTTTCAGAGATTCTAAATTGATTTTATACAATCTGTAATTTCAGCTACACAATAATATAATACGTGCCCATTACTTATTCACAAATAATGTGCCCATTACTGATTCACAAATACTGGCATCAGGATGCAACATTAATAGTCAGAAGCAAGTATATTTGTAGAAGTGAAAAATCAAATCAAATACTGCACAAGTGACATTTTAATTAGGAAGAAAAACTTGCATTTTCAGTCTAATTCTATTACTTTCCTGGTTAACATTTAACTTTGAAGGGCCCTCAGGATCTGTCTACTCAGTCTACTTCCCATGCACTTAAGTATGTTGAAGGATCGGGAGTCCTGAATACAAAATTTTTCCTATTACATCTTCTTCGTCCTCATCCTTTTTAAGCATGACTGTGTTTTAGAGACGGGTGTATGCAGTGTGTATTGGATTGGACCCAGTGCCTAGACTGTTCATTTACTTGAGTGAGTTGGTGATCAGGGTCCTGGCAGAAGTGTTTGAGGGGTGCCACATGAAAGGCTGTGCATATGAAAGACCGTTGGTGTATTTTGGTATTTGCTAGAGCACCTTCTCTTTTAACATTGAAGCTAAGAAACTAAGATCTAAGCCAGCAGTACCTGCTCAGATCCTGGGTCTATGTAGTCCCAAATCCTCTAACTGAGGGCGGCTACCACAAAATCTGAAGGCAAGGATAGCAAATAAGGAAGGAGTCCAGTAATGGGGCCTCTGCCACAGCCTTCCAGCAGCCTGTGGCTTGGAGATGTCCTGAGTAAAGGTTGTATCATTGGTGTTTCATAGACCTCTGTGGCTCTTCCATGAATTTGTCTTATCCGCTGTGGCATCACAGCCTCCTGCTGCAATACCTTGGACAGTTTAACTAAAGATCTGTCTGTATTACATGACACTAATGTTTAGAGACCTCCTGGTGCCTATGCTTTTGTGTTTACAATTCAGTTTCAGACAAAGCCCAACCAACAGGTGCACCATTGGAGAGTAAAATGTTTAGTGAAAGGATTTGCTTGTGAGCTAAAACTTCAATGTCAGTGTCAGTCTAATTTCATTTTCCAAATATTTTGCCTAAGGCCTCTTTCTCAAATTGTACATCATTTCTTTCAGTTTTTATAGAAGTGCATGATATATATGAGGTTGGCTTCTCACTGCCCTCTGCCAGTCTATCTGAGCCCACAACTCCTCCTCCATCAGGAGAAGTGTCACGAGGCAGGACCACAGGTAAAGGGGGTCTAGTTGCACTTGCAGCTGTGCAGTTGTCAGTGCTTTGTTAACTGCACCAAACACTTCTTTCCAGCTCCCTTAGGCTCCCACTTTTGCAGTTCACACGTGTACTTATCAAAGTAGACAAACATGCAATGAATTTTCAACCCATTATGAAGAAAAACATTGCCACAGCATCTATCAAATAGGATCAACCAATAGTTTTATGCAAGATGCTGTATAACTATATTGTGAGAAGCTCTCAAGTCTCTCCTGATGCCTTTTATCTCCTTGTGAACAAGACTAGAATTTCTGTGTCATCCTCTCCTAAATGCATAATACAGAAACAACAAAAGCCAATTTTTCATTGATGTTGCTGTCCGGCAATTTTGCTCTTGTTCATATATATTCTGCATAACTGTGCCATATCTCCCAGTTACAAGGCTTCAAAGCAGGCAATCTATCTAGACCAGTTGAACACTGCCATGGCACTGTGTATATTCTCTGGTGTGAAATAATTTCTTTGGTTGATTAAAATATCATTTGTTCTAACAAAATGCCAAACACAAGTATTTGGGTTTTGTTTTCCCTTATGGGAAGCAAGGTCTAATCCACTGCTTTTAGTGGGTGATGGTTTAGGGGCATGTTTGGTTTTTTACAGTCTCAGAATTTATTTGTCAGTTAAGGCTATTCTGAGATCAGTAAAAATGTCTTCCCACTTGCAACTAACCCAACTGTTCTTCTGTATTGTCTCTTTGTGTTGCAGCTGGATATTTAGTACAGCATCAAACTGCTGAGCCATTAGACTCCAAAATTTTTCTAGATACCTCAGTCTCAAGACGTCCTGCAGCTCTGTATCTGAAACCTTGTGTTATCCTTGTTTCTCTTGAACAGACAGCATCTGTGTGACCATTTCTTCTCCAGTATATAATCATTCTCTCTTTATCACTCAACTGTTAGTTGGCACTAACAATCATAGACCCTATAATGCAAATATCTTCAGACATATTTGCAGCCATGGGGTAGCAATAACTTGGTTTTGTTTCAGAATTCTAGCAGGCTCCTGCCCTGTTGGGAGCACAACGGCAAAGCAACACAGAGCACCCCTGCCTGCATTGAGCCATCATCAGACAGTCACTGATATTATAGGGGGACATTGACCCCAGTAATAGTTTGCGGCAGTTCACTCTTTCCAGGGATTATGTGTGTAGTGCCAGGAAATCAGATAGGGCATGTGAGTGTCTGCGTGCTCAGGGTCTGCAGGAAGTCAAATTCACCATTCCTGTTCCATACACCACTTCCAGCAGGTACCAATCAAGCAGTCTCCCGCCTGGAAACAGCACTGCTTCACCCACCTCATGCTCTGATCCAAAGCCTGTTGACATAAATGGGCATTATCCAAGGAGCTAGGTTGGCTCTGGAGCATCTCCTTAGACGTGGTGTTTTCCTGTGGTGTGAAATACCAGTCTTCCATGTAAGTCTGCCTAATTTCTAGCATAGGCAGAGCAGCAAGATGAGAGTGGAACTGATAACAAAGTATTGATATTTATTACAACTATTGAATATTATCTTCTGCATGGTAATATATTTCTCAACTAATTTCCCCTACCTCTTTTCTAAACAATCTTGCCAATTTCTCCCTTTCACACCCTATTAAATCTTCTATTTCTGTATATTGAACAAGGAAAGTAAAAAAGTTAGGAATGAAGAAATAATAAAGCAAGAAATAGATAATAAATTTAAAAATAAATTAAGGTTCTTAAAAATCTCATTACTTTGTTAGTCCAAAACTCTACAATATTTAAACTGGTTCACTTTATTTTAGCTTTTCAAAACAAGATTTTTACCTAACAAAAGCTTTTCACCTGCCAAAACTGTACAAATCTTGTTGAAATGTTTCATTGGTTGTCTACGGGAGACTTGTGTTTTCCTTTTCTCTAGACGAAATTTATCACCAGAATTTCTGAAGCTCTAACTTAGCAACAATTAAGAATGTTTTTTAACAGTTTGATCTGAAATTGAACACTTGGGAAGTTGTCCTGGGTTCAGCACTTAGACCACAACAGAAGTGAACACCATTCCAGCACCTTATTGTTGAACGATTTTCAGTGTTTCTCACTGAACACCATTAGAGACCAAGTTTCCTACTCATCTCTGAAAATCAAAGAGCTCTTTTTTGCTGCCAGGAAAAGCTATGTGAAAACCATTGACAAGTCTCTACTATTTTCTTCAGGGGCACAACTATTTAATCTGAGTGCTAATTATTTAAATGCCTAATCAGTGAATTTGTTATAATCCTAATTTATATTACAGTTTTCAACCCCCAGGCAATAGATCATATGCAAGCTTTTTAATACACAGTCGCTTTTACTAGTCTCTCATCTCCCTGTTTCCATGGGGCTCTGTCCAGTCTGGGGATACCATTCCCTGTTCATCTCCATGTATGAATCTCTGTCACAAGGAAACTCAGCTGCTGCTCCTGGACACACATTTGGGAATGGGAAAACTGTAAACACGTCCTCATCTGAAGGTGTATTTTTGTGCCTATAACTGCTGGCAGCAGCTCAAGTTCTCCAGGGAAGGAGGAGTGAGACCTGTCTGTAATCGCTGACTGATCATGTTAAAAGTTCATTTTCCTTCTCTGGAGGAACTGAGCTGCTGTTGGTGATATCAGCAAATAATAGTTTTATAGTTGTATCTTTTTATCATTTAATGTCCTAATCATAATTAGACATTAACTAAAGTACGATGCCTTTTCTAAGCCCTTGCAACCTGCCTTGGAAATACTTTGTTGTAGTACCCCGCCCTGTGAGAGCAAACCATTGGGGAAATAAGCTGTAAAACAGAGGGAGTAGTAAAAATCTATTTTGTGGACAGTTTTTGCTGGTTAAGTCAATCTGACAAGGAGACTGGCCAATCTGTGCAGTGGTCAGTGATGTGTCAGTGATGCTGGACTCATTTGTCCTTTTGTCTTCGCATGTCTAACTGATGCAAATGTATTTTCTGTTTCTTAGGAGAGCACTCATCTCATGGGAAGAATAAAACTCGGCAACTCTTCACATCTCAACAATAAACACGTAAGTTTATTGGTTTTGTCTTATGTCTTGTAACATTAGTGTTTGTTAATCTCACTAACAGTTTCAGTATTGTGCCATGTAACTAAACAAAAGGGTTAAAAATGCAAAACAAAAACAGCAATGATTTCACCTGGCAGCATCCTCAAGGAGCAAAAGCTTAAACAAAGCTTAGCTTGAATACAGCATCATGAAGAGTCCCAGGTAAATGGAGGGACTGAAGAAGCTGCAACCTCACCAAGGTAGATTTTTATAGGCATAGCATTTGCCTTTACCTGCTCAGCATTTCTGACTGTAATTCCCTAGGTGAATACTCATTTTATCTGTGTGAGAAGTAAGAGACTTTTAAAGGCTGCTGTCTATAAAAAAAAGGAACATGATACCCAGAAGAGTTCAGCTCCTTTGGTTTCAGGACAAATCTGTGTCTGTTCCACATCATGCAAAAGCAAGAGCTTTCATTGAGGTATTTTATTATGGCTTGAAATCCTTCATGGCTAACACGCAAAACTGGCAAGTGTTGGGCAGTATCTGTGAGGGCAGAGACTCTCCCCGAGCTCTTCTGAAACCCATGGTTTGTGATGTGGGCACTGCATTTTCCTTCATGTATGAAGCTTTCTCAGGCACCACAATCTCCATCCACTCTTACGGAGTTGCTTCTCTCATTTGTGGGCAAATGGGATCATTTGCTGACAGTGGGAGAAGGAAGTGGCTGTGGGAAATGCCCTGTGTGACCAGGGTAGTGTAGGGAGGTAGAGAAGAAGAATGGTCTGAGGAATTGGGTGTCACAGCATATGTGAGGTTGACCAGCCTTCCACTATTGTTGTAGGATGAAGCTCCTCCAGAACAGGTCCCATTGCCCTCTGCTGAGAGAGATCTGGTTAACCAGAAATGTGGAGAGACCCTTTTGCAAAACAAGTTTGAATGGTTTTGGCCTGTTCTCATTTCTCCCAGGATGTTCAAACAGAGCTTTCCTGATGTCAACAGTAAGGACAAAATAACCTACTTTGCCCCTTGAACTAGAGCAGCAGAATGCAATTTTGCCTACATGACTGAAAACCCAGAGGTGGTTCTGTTTGTGCAGATGCAGGACAATGTCCCAGACGGTGGATTTACTCCTTATTTCAGTTTACTGTTCCTGAACAGCCTTACCTGGAATAATAAACTTGAGATACTGTTGTCGTTTCAGAGAGAAGCAACCTTGTTTATCACAATATGCAGGAACATCTCACCAAAGTTGCAGGAAATGTGGAGTGGCTGAAGCTTTTTACCATGCAGGACATTTGCATTAATGACCAGCTCTTGACTTCTAAATCTCAAGTGCCTCCTGTTCCTTCTGGAATGACACGTAATTTTTTGATGGCTTAATAACTGGTATATCATGTATTTATTGTTTTCATATATACTAAAAGCAGGAAAACTTTCAAGAAGGTTGAAGAGAATGTAAAAATCGGGTGGTGTTTGCATAGCAGCTACTAAAAATGTTTCCTGCGCATACAGGAAGGAATGTGTTAGCATACTTTGTTGAACTTCTTATGGTAGATAGGGTTCTTTTAATTGTATGTAGCAAAATACAAGCAGGGCCTGACCCTTGAAACAGTACTGGGCAAATTGCCACTATGAAAATTAGTTCAGTGATTTCCATGAGACTCCTCCCTGTAGCACACACTTTGCTTGTCATAAATGTTTACAGGATGGGATGCCTGGGTGAAACACTGATGTGCGTGCTTTATTCTGTGAAGGGGGAATATACCTTGCACTGAGGAGCTTTGAAGCTCTGTAAATTACTGAATATGATCCTTGTAATGTAGCAGACAACATAGTCTATTTTCACCTGTTCCTTGGCTAATTGCATTACGTGTGCTATAAATACATCTCCTATATAGCCTGGGGTGCAGGATAGGGACCAGCAAGATAAGCAGTTTTACAGATGAACCTTCTCCCCCCTGTTCTGAGTAATGCATGGGATTCCTGCTGGTTATTGAATAATTCTGGAATTTTGAAGAGTGTTTCAAGTGCTAATTACAGACTCTTTTAATTTGTACTGAGCTGGAAATTCAAAAATATCAAGTAGTGCTTCTACCTGCATGTATCCTACTTTTCTAGAACTATAAATGTTTGAAAATTGTATTACTGTGAGCATCTGCTTAGTCTTCATCCACTGACTCTGGTAGTGTGCCAAACCTCCACTGTTTAACTGCAAATGGAAATAAGATAGCTGGTGGTGTAAGTGCAGGACCAAGAGCCAGGACAACGATCTAAGTTTTGATGCCTATTGATCCAATGCTTTTGAGGAACTTCTCTCTTCAATTCCCCTTTCTGAAATAATAAAGCCTACCTGGCGATGTGGTAAGAGATTGAGCAGATTTGTTAGTCCATGTTTATACACAAAGCTGAAAAGTGCTCATTTCCCTGCACTTGACAGTTGTTCTGATTTCCACTTTGATGGGTCTAATAATCCTCTGTCTTAGTGGCACCAAGAGAAACTTTAGATGAAGCTCTGTGAGAGACGGGGAACCAACAAGTGTCCTCATGCTGCAGCTGAATTTATGTGGTTCATTCAGGTATTCCTGGATCACTTGGGTTGCTCAGGAGCAGAGGAGTCTTGGATGCCTACTTTGGGGAGGTCAGGCCATCTAAAATACACAGGTTGGCATCTACAACTATTCAGATTCCTGATTGCTGAAGTTTCCTATGAAAAAAGGAATCGTTGTGGATTTTCATGTTCATATCAAAAAGTCAGAAAAGTCATTTGTAGCATGTTGGATCACACTGAAAGGACACCAGGAAAAAAAAACAAAACCAAAACCAAAGATTGTGAAATATATATATATATGTTTGTGCAAAATTTGTTCTGAAATTACCATGATGTGTCAAGGAAAAAAAAAATTAGCTGCCTATTAAAAGTTATTCTCTTTATTAAGAGGCTCTTCTTTTTCTCTTTGCAGAAATGCAATTAATTACCCGTATCCAATACAACTATTGTTCATTACTGTTCATTCCTGTAGCACAGAATGAGCTGAACTCTACAGTGAGCCTAGAGAGCAGGCATTGGATATTCTGGGCATGGTGGTGGCAGGGGGAGCATGAGACCGTGCAGAAGGCATATAGAGTACAGAAATCTCCTCCTTGTTACAAGAGTTGATGGGGAGAGAGCAGGGCTTGTTGCAAATCTTGGTACTGGAAGACTGAACAGCAAAATAGGGGAAGATGTTTGGGCTCTTCATGACAAGGGATATGGCAAACAATCAAGCTCTTATTGGAAGGCTGGGAAATGTGTCTCAAAGTGTCTGGTTTGTGTGAGTGGGCACTAAAGAAAACAACCAAAAAACACAAAAAAACAGGTGTGGTTCAGTGTATTGACTATTGGCTTCCTATCCTAAGATGTTGAATCAAACACCTTATTTGACTCACATAAGAAAATAAATACTAAAAAAACATCTACTTTAATCATTATCATTATTATCATTAATTGATCAGGACAAGGGGTAATGTCTTCAAGATGAAAGAGGGTAGATTTAGATTAAATGCTAGGATTAAATGCTAGATTAAATGAAGGACAGAACTTTTGGCACCAGCTACTTATGGCACTGCTCAGAAAGGTGCTCAAATAGAAAATATTCCTTGGGGCCATCTGCTTGATGTGGGAAAGTCACACTGCCCATGGCAGGCTGCTGCAACAGGAAGCAGCACCTCCATCCTGATACTGCACCCTCCAGAACCCTCAAAGGCTTTTGTGGTTTTGGAGTGAATCCACCCCACTGAAGAGGGAAAAGCCATTTCACTGCGCACCAGCACACAGTAGACTCAAAGAGAGTCACGAAGCACGTAAGTCTTTCTGGCTTGGGATGGGGATGGTGTTTGCAGCATCTCTGGAATGCCTCAATTGCCAGCAGCCGTCTGCTGACCCTGGAATCTGGCTTTTCTGCTGTGCCCCATGGTGGCAACTTTGCTTTTCACCTGCCCTTCAGTTTTGGGTGAGG